AAGCGAGGTCTAAGCTGAGCTTGTTGCACTTGTTGAGATTGATCAGTGGCAGAGGCCTTACAGGGCTGTGTCATACACTGGTCTGATGTGAGATGAGATAACAGTGGAGCTGGGTGGAGTTCCCCTCTCTCTCATTCACACACAAATGATGGTTTTACTATACTACTGTTCAGTTTGGGGTCAGTACTTTTTTTTTCTTTTATTCAGCATGGATCAAATAATTATTAGCCTGCAGCTAATAAGAGTATTTCTACGAGTGAAGAGAGGTCTGTCTTAAACAGAGGCCATAACAATGATTTTCTCCACTAATCTTAGTTTATTCTATTGAACATATAATGATAACATCACTGCCTGTGTGTTTGTGTTGTGTGTGTGTGTGTGTGTGTTTGAATGCGTATGCAGCTCTGCAGTGCTTGTTTTAGCTCTCAGTAGGATCAAGTTAGTATCCGCTAAAGATGTTTCGGGCCCATATGTCACCACAGATTTCTCTTCCAGACATGAGCTGTGCGTAAACCTGCTCTCCAGCTCTAAAAGACCGAACAGGATTTGTGTGGCGGTTTCTTCTGCATCCTCCCTGTTGTCCTCCCACGCAGTGACCTCAGAACGTCCCTGTCTCACTAGTGCCACCCGCTGGTACAAACGCTGTCCTTCAGATCCTTTGTTAGAGCACACTGTAAGGCTAAAGGAGAAGACGCCCGCACAAGGAGCCGTGAAGATGCATAAATGAGTCACACAGATTGATTGTGTGCATTTTTATACATTCGTGTGTATGTGTGAGAGAGGATATGCACATTTGGTATATTCATCATATACCAAATTACTACATTTGTTTAACAGTTATTTGTTCTTTAAAATGTTATTAGTGAATTACTTTATTTATTCTAAATAATAACATATTTAAAAAATATATTAATGTATTTAACCCTCAGATGCAATGTGCTATATTACTAGACATGGAATAATTTCTTAAGGTTTTTAAAAAAACAAAGACATTTCTAATCGGTGTTGCTGTTGTTATTATTGTTGTTATCCAAAATGGTTCTTAACCTAAATAAAGCCAAAAATAAAATATACATATTTTCAATTAGAAAAAAAATCTAATTGAAATTAAGCTAAAACTACTAAAACTGAAATAAATTAAAGCTATATAGAGATATTAAAAAAAAATACATAAAAGTGACAAATAAACAAGAATACTTAAACCAAATTAAAATAAAAAAAATAAAAGCTAATTCAAAATATTAAGTGCTATAATGCTATGTTAATAGTAAAATATTAATACTAGGCCTATACTATAGCAGTGGTTCCCAACCTTTTTTCCATGGTGCACTGAATTGTTTGCAGCTGTTTATCGTGTCAATGCATATTTACTATTCATTCTAGGAAGCAAAACTAAAGAAAACTGTCTGCGATGAAGTAGATGAAAAGTATCAAAATATGGGGGTAGTTTTTTTAAAATATATTTATTTATTTGTTTGTTTATTTGGATTAGGGAGCCCTGGAAAATGCCACTGGTCCTGCCCAAAACTCATGACATTTGTTGAGCCAATGTTACTGTCGGCTGTTCAAACAGTTTGAGCAATCTACAAATGCCTTCCATGTATCATTTTCTGCATTTTAAGCCAGGATCTGAGAAAGTATTTTGACACTGAAAAATTGTACTTGAACTTTTAATATAAAGAACTTTCAGCTATGTTGTTACAACTTTGAGCTCACAGCTCAGTTTGAGAGAGAAAATTCACCTCTTCAGGGAAGCAAGTCCTGATCACTTGAGCTGAAACTATTTTTATCATTTTAATTAGCTGATTTGACTGAATTTCCAAACACAAAATCAATGGTTATACAAATGGTTATACATTTCTTTGCATTTATTTGCAGTGTTATATTCAGAATCTTGCTAGACTTTTAGTCATTTATGGTAATTGTTTGGTACAGTTTATTTCATTGTCATCAACACAATTTATCCTTGCCCTTTCAGTGATTTTTGTGAGAAAGCTTTTGCTAAGAAACGAAACAGCTGTTTCCAGCCTGCAAAGGAACATTCTCCATGTAAACACATGTTCTTTTGAATACTTACCTTTTCTGTGACCAAATGTAATCTTTTTCTCCAATCAAACCAGCTTTGTTGTTTTTGGCTGCGTGTAGGTTTCTTCATATCCTCTGTTAAGGTCACAGCATTGACTCTCCTCACTGGCAAAAACACCTGTTAAACACGCAAACTAGCTTTGAATTTATGAAAAAGTCCTTCTCACTCACTGTGTGGTGTTAATTGGTGGTGCTTATTATAGGTTTCATTAGCTTTGATGTCAGCAGGCACAGAGGGCAGTCCCACCCTGATGGCTATCAATCATCATTGTGCATCTGTGTGTGTGTGTGTGTGTGTGTGTGTGTGTGTGTGTGTGTGTGTGTGTATAGGTGTGCGTGCCGTGTACACATCCTATAGCTGCTCAGATGTAAAATCCCAAGGAAGTGCAAATCATATGTGTGTGTGTGTGTGTGTGTGTGTGTGTGTGTGTGTGTGTGTGTGTGTGTGTGTGTGTGTGTGTGTATAGGTGTGCGTGCCGTGTACACATCCTATAGCTGCTCAGATGTAAAATCCCAAGGAAGTGCAAAGCACTCTCAGATGTCTCCCTGAACCCAACTCCTCAATGTCTGTGTGTTGTAATTGGATGATAACAGATAAAAAGGGACAAGAGTATCAGTAGGTCAGCTGGCTCTGGTTGCACATGTGTTTTTGTTTGAAGAACTGGCTGATATTATCAGGTGTATCAAAAGACGTATTTTATTGGGTCAGTATTGATTTGTTCTTGTGCTCTTGGTTTGGTTTTTATTATGGTTCATCCCAGTGATGTAATTCAGAGGTATCATCTGCTTAATATTAAAAATAAAAAATCACTCATGTTTCTCAAATCACACCATTATCACATGGGAGTATGAAATGAGTGTAACTGGCATATTGTGTGTTAGTTTAGTTATATAAAATAAACAAATGTATTTATTTAAACTTTTATACTATATAGAATTATATGACTTTTTTGTTATATTATATTATATTATATTATATTATATTATATAAAGGGCATAATTTTCATACACGTCTTCTGTAGAGGACACCAGGACAAACATCATGTTAATCAAGCATTTTGGGGAGACACAGCAAGTCAATAGGGAAAGAAATTATAGATCAATATTCCTATGAAATATTAGACATTCTTCTGAAATCGTTGCAAAGTTATTACTGCCATTATTACACTTCTTTTTTCATTATGGTTTGCCCCAAGAACACATTCATATGCAAATTAGATGCAATGTATAAATACATTGTATAGAATGGGAATACCAATTTATGGATATTGTACGCACATATTGCATAAAGTAAAGTAGTATATCAAATAATTTTGTTATAATTTTCATAACATAGTTGAGAATCATCTTTGTACAAAGTTTGGTTAAAAATAGGGGTGCACGGACGGATACCATTTGTTCAGAACCGATCCGATCCGATACCAAAAACTCTGAGTATCGGCCAATACTGATACCGATCTGATACACAGATTTTTTGTGTGTTAAACACAATCTACTAAATATAGACAACTTCATTATAAAGAAAAATATATAATCATAATATTTGACAAAATACTATTATAAACTAGGTTATAAACTGGATAATTCAGCAGCAAAAGTTACTCTAGAAAAATCATGAGTGCACAATCATTTTATAAAATCTAAACATTTAGTGAAAAAACATTAGTGGGGAACAAATAAAAGTGAATAAGTGTAGGATTCAATCTGGTAAAATGTTACACATTGCTCTTTGTATTTTTGTAAAATACATGCATGAAAAACAAGTAAATATAGGCTATTTATAATTATATACAAGAAAAGTAAAAGACATTTATTTTAAATGTGCAGCACAGTAATGAGGCAGCAACATATTTTAGATAGGACAAAACAAGAAAGGCTATTAATAATCTTTTATTGCTCAAAAGTATTATAATATGAAAGGCTCCAATACAGAGCGGAACAAAGTGCGTATGCGCATCTCGTGCGCAGAATGATGTACTTGAAGCGACATGGAGTCACAGTGCACAGCGCTCGGCATAGAACAGTTCAAAGGACAAAGGGAAGCATAGTGTAGCCTGTTACATCTGTGCAACAGTTTGAGCCTTTTCTTTTAACAGTTTCAAATTTCAGTTACTGTGCGCGTGAAGAACATTTCATAGTCCTCTCTACTTCAGTGTTGTGATCTAACAGACACCTGGTAGAAAGTAACGTGATTTAGAAACAGCGCTAAACTCCAGCAAGATAAAGTCCTTTTATTCAAAACCATTGATCTTTATCTACAGATCAAATATAATAATAGGAACACTGAATCATCTTGGAGAGTGTGTCATCGTCTTGACTGTCATAAGCAAACATAACATGTAGTTTGAGAGTGCTGAATGGAGGATGACAGGCAGGAAGAGTTGAAGAACTTGAATTTAACGACTTTAATACTCATCTGTAGCCTACCTCACATTAAACTATGGAAAACCTTCATAAGACATGGAGTATGGTGCACGGAAACTTTGTTTTCTCGCCATTTGTTTCTCATGCTCCAACCAATTTAATGACATAAAAAAAGACAAAAGTAAATATAGGCTCGTGATTATTAAGTCAAAAATAGTGCCAAAATTATCATGTATCCCCATGAGCAAGCCAAAAGGTGACAGTGGCAAGGAACCCAAACTCCATCAATGACACTTTATTCATTTTTATTTGTATTTTTTTTGGAATTGTCCATTATTAATTGTAAAAAAGTTAAATTAAATAGTTAGGATATTTTGTGTGTGTATTTTGATCTTTACTTTTGCTAGATGTGTTTGTGCCACCACTCTATTATATAATATATAATATAATACAATAGACATTTTTAAATTTAGTTTACAATCATTTAAAATAGAGATGAAATACTACAAGAGAAAGAGATTAAATGGCCACACAATTTAGTTTTTCATGTCAACATTTTATTGATATTAGTTCAACATCTGTGCCTTTTGCAACATTCTATTATCTTACAATCCATATGTGTTTGTGTCTAGGTTTGTTTATACGGTTCGGTGTCAAACATTTAAAAAGAAAGTATAGTAAAACCTGTTGAAAACCAACTTCATTTAAAGTGGTTTTCACAAAAATGCTGATACATTTACCAAATCAAGTTTTGCTTCAAATCTAATAATGTCAACAGGTTTGTGTGATATTTAGGTTTAGAATTTATGATCTTTGTATGAAACCCACTACATCTCTAAGAGCTCCTCACTAATATAATTTTAAAGTCTGTGTGTGTGTGCTTCACTCTGTAGCATACAACAGAAAACCACTAAATGTGTTATAGTGATTCTGATCATCACAGATCCAGCAGCCAGCCTGGAGACCGATGGTAATATGGTCCCCTGCGCTGAGCTGCGCAAGCAGGACGGCAGTGGCCTGGTCCTCCTGGTCTTGTCCATAAATCTCCCTAAGTGCAGTTAGAGCCACACCATTCTTCCTGATACTGGCACAAACAGCCAGCGATGCGCCTGGTGAGCCTGCATCGCTGAAAACAGTAAATGCCAGGTTATACACGCCTGACCGTGGAACCGTGAACACACCGGTGGATGAGTTATAGGCCTCTCCAATGTTGATAAAGATGCTTTGATAGACCAGATTTGTCACCGTCCTCAACGGACCAATGCAACGTCTCCTGTCAGTTAGACCCACAGAAAACGCCACTCGGTTGTCTAAAGAGTAACGTGTATGAAACACACAAAAATTATGACACAAAATAAATAAGGCCAGATTAGATGGAGTTAACAGATAAGATATAGTTATTACTAGTCAACATGTTTTATTCTTTACTGTTTTAAAACTTTTCATTTCAAACTACTCAAATTTGTGTTTTTTTTGGCCTGTTTAGTTTGTAAGTGCTAGGAAACGAAAGCTTCTCATACTTTTATTTTGCCCCAGTTAGAGTTACAGTACATAAACATCCCCTCTATATTGAATAAAGATCCATAAAGTCCATTGAGCTTGAGGTAATGTGCTCAAAGATATATATATATATATATATATATATATATATATACATACATACATATACACACATATTTGTGTGTGTGTGTGTGTGTGTGTGTGTGTTTACCTCTGATGTTTCTCAGTGTGTTTTGTGCTCTGGCCAGCAAATCCTCCAATGTATTCATACTAGAGTTTAAATATTGCTCTAACTCCCATTTTTTCTTCTGCATCACACAACAACCACATGAGTTCTGGTCAGTCAGGCATGCTAGTGAGAGCGCAATAAAGATATTATTCACACATGATTTCTAGCTTTACATTTTGATGTATTTCATAATGCTGTAAATTTCCATATTATTACGATTTTCAGGGAGACTTGCAAAGACTTACGGTTGATGGGATCTGGAGCAAGGGTTTGTCCTGGTCCATCCCAGCTGAAGTCCTTTTCCTGGCCCAGCACCAGCGGCAACACACAGAGCAGCACAACACCTTGCCCTGATTAAATTATTCATAGAGGGTAATCACATTCTGTCAGAACTTTGATGATACCGTTACAGTCTGTACGGCACAGAGTCAGTTTCGTTTACGCTCCATGGCTCATGAAAACAGACCAGTGTAACCAAGTGTATTAAAATTTGTCACTTAACTAGGCCCACATGGAATCTGTCTGCAGTTTTCCCATTTGTTTATGTTAGCTAATTTAATCATTCTTTCGGCAACCAATAAGAGTCTCATAATCGCAGCTCTACTAAACACATTTTACTAGGTTTAAATTGATTCTGTAAGATTCCACAAATTTTTCCAACAAAATCGGAAAAAAGTCTGCAGATTCCATCAGGGCCTGCTAATATCTAACATAATATAAACAATATATATATATGTATATA